ATAAGCAGTTGTTGGCTGAACCACACCCGTACATTGAAGGCAGCGGAATATGCGATAGCATATGTATTGCGTTTACAGTACTGTAGTGCCCAAATTCTCATTAATCCATCCCTTATTCAGAGAGCACCCCATACAAAAGACCAGGTATGGACAGAAGAGTCGGTGGTTTTCTTGGAGAAGTTTCGCTGTATGTAGTGATGACACGGATTTATCTTTATGGAAATGAAACATGGCTTCAAATAAATACAACTAGACATAACCGAATAATGCTTATGAATTCTTGGATAAGGAGAGAAATGATAGTGTTTGAAAATTACTGCAAATGCTCAGTTCAAAAAAAAATGTTACAATGATTTACCGTAGAAAACAATAGATTGAACATTTTGAAAGGATGACAGAATTTTGAAATTTTAACTGTTGTATAATTTATCGTTATATTGGCAGAATAAAGATACTCATAAAGTAGAGCTGGACTGCATGTGTGGCTTAATTCTGAATAGTAGGGGTGTAATTTTTTGCCGAACCCCACTATTCATTGCAGTGTATTTAGTGACTATATAAATATAGCCATGCACTATCCTGCAATATAAATTTCATCCAGACAAGTCACCATGTTTAACAAATTTGTAAGATCAAGTAAGGAGGAAGAGATGGGCAGGGCATGTAGCATAAGTGGGGAGCAGAAGAATGCATATAGGATATTGATTGGGAAAACCAGAAGGAAAGAGACCACTGGGAAGACCAAGACGTAGGTGGGTGGATAATATTAAAATGGAGAGAGGATGGGGTAATATGGATTGGATTGATCTGGCTCGGGATATGGACCAGTGGAGGGGTCTTGTGAACACTAATGTATCTTCGGGTTCCGTAAAATGCTGGGAAATTCTTGAGTAGCTGCATAACTTACGGCTTCTCAACAAGGGCTCAACTCCAAAAGTGAGTGATCATGTTCATATATGCAGTCAAGAGGCCTCTGTTTGTGAGTGTCAGTGTTTTGACACAGCTCTTGATTAGTAGTGTTGGGTGTAGAGTCATTGCAGCAGTATTGCTATTTATACTTCTGTTGACTGTATATTTATAATGATCAAGTCAAGGAGGATGACACTCTCATTAGACAACGAGGTCCCCCCCCCCCTTGGCACTACAGCANATGTGCTAGCAAAACCAATATTTCCATAATCGAGAGATGTCAGTCAAAGATACTACGTATGATTACTAAAGCCCCATGGTGTGTTTCCAATATAACACTCCATGAAGACCTGAAAGTGCCGCTAGTAAAGGAAGTTATAAAAGGGAAAAGCACAAGATACCCCAACAAAACAGAAGGACATGAGAACGTACTAATGCAACCGCTACTGGAACCGCACAATGAACGAAGACTGAAAAGGATTTAGCCAGCCCTCTCCACGTCACGAAGAATAATACAGCAAATTAGCTTATAGAATCAAATGTAATTCTGATTGCTAATACGAATTATGTAAAAAAAAAGAAAGAAAAGGAGGATGAGGTGGGCAGAGCATGTAACACGAATGGGGGAGAAGAGGAATGCATATGTGATATTGGTGGGAAAACAGAAGGAAAGAGACCAGTGGGAAGCCCAAGGCGTAGGTGGGTGGACAAAATTAAAATTGATATATTATATATAAGCATCCTGTTGCACTCTACACTTCTATACATATAATGTAAATACCGTCGTAAATGCAACAATTTATTGTAGTTCTTTGTCTTTCTTCTTTCACACTACATGTTTCGGCCGTAACTGGCCATCATCAGGCGATGATGTTTTGTAGAAAATGTTTGGTAAAATGTATCACCTTATCAAATTGCATATAATCACGCGTTTCTTAGGTAACGCGGCAGGAAATATGTTTATCGGACAGGTGCTTGTCTACGCTCGCTCTTATAACGCCTTCAGACATTTCCTTTTCAGTGGCTCTGCTCTCGATGAAGTATCTTGGCTCTTCGTTCTTATTTTATCCCTTGTAGGATCTGAACTCTACTTTGCTCTCTTCGGATACGAACTAACTTGGTCAGAGTCATAGTCACATTACGACTGATGGTCAGTCAGTCAGTGAGTCTTGGTGTCAAGTCCCATCTGGGGCTCGTGGCCAGGTGTTTATTACTCTTTGACAGTTACGGTCTTGTTTTTGTGGGGTGCCCTCTCTGACGAGAGGACGGGTTTGTCTTTTGTATATGCTGCTGGCCCTTACCAGCGCAGTCTTTCTCGGGTCCGAGTCCCTTGGGACTCCTTACCATATTTTACTGTCTCAGATTTGAGACTTCCCTTTTTGTCGCCTCCTACGACCCGCAGGGTCACGGTATGCTACAAGCCGGAAGGTCGCGGGTTCAAGTCCCGATGAGGTCTTTGGATTTTTTTCCAATTGACCGAATCATTCCAGCCGCATTATTTCCCTGTGGTCGACTCAGCCTCTGACAGAAATGAGTACCAGGAATCTTCCTGAGGGTAAAGGTCGACCGGCGCGTAAGGCTGACAACCTTACCGCCATCTTTGAGCCGAATGTCTTAGATAATGTGGGACCCTCAACGTCTCACAACCCTATGGGCCTTCACGGCCTGTTACAGGGATAGCTTTGCTTTACTTTACTTCACACGGGTTACTAACTTGGTTCCAAGTCCAAGTCACATTGCGACTGACGGTCGCTCAGTCTGTCTCCAGGGCTCATGACCAGATTTTTTTTTCTTATATGAAATTTACTGTCCTCTCCATTTGGGGCGCCCACTCTAACGAGAGGTCGGGCCTGTCATTTGTCAGTCATAGTCCGTATTAGTAAGTCCATTGTCAGTATTTACGTATATTTATAAATTTAATCTGAATTCCCACTTCTTCGTACAATATATACAAGGCCTCTGTCAATCCAGGCTCAGTACAGCAGATTATGCCCTATTTCTAGTAGTAGTCGTTTCCACGGCAGTCTAGTCACTTGAACGGTCGTATGCCTGACCAACGACTCTCTCGTTGCTACGGGAATACCTCATTACTGCCTCAAACAATCCCTTACATCATATTGCTAACCTCATTATAACGATGGAACCCCCACTGTTAAGTTTTCGTATTGTCTACGCAATTTCCTAGGCAACGGGCTGCTAATATTGCCTTACCTAGTACTTGCTAGCCATTGACCAGTGATGGACGTCTTATCATCCGGCCTTCCTGGCGGCACGTCAAATAATGTGACATTATAAAACTCGATATGCTGTTAGTCCGATAATTTGTCTTAATCGCGTGTTGTTTGCTTGTTTATGTACAATCCCACTTCTGTAACACCAGTTGTCGCGTGTTGCCTATGTAACACTACAGATTAATTCACGCAGGTCTCTGATTTAGCGAATAAGTTTATTGGCCGATCTTCCCTGCGCTTCCAAGTACAATTATTATTCATTTATAACGTCGCCAGACTTTTTTTACGACACTGTTATAGTTACTTTTTGCACGCTTATCTCGGTGAAGTCTTCTGTTCCCTCGGAGCTACCTGAAGACTGACAACTCTTCTAAGGTCAGCTACAAACTGCTCTCGAGTCAAAATCGAAGTCACATTGCGACTGACGCTCAGTCAATCAGTCAATCTTGGTGTCGAGCCCAATCTGGGGCTTATTACCAGATATTTATTACTGTTTGACAGTGTAGGTCTTGTTATTGTGGGACGAACCTTTTTGTTGTCCCTTCATCTCCGGGGAAACGCGTTTGTTGCTTGAGGTATTGCTGGTATTGCTTTTCCATGGAAGTATACCTTCTTACCGTAGCCGTTGCTTAGGAAATCAACCATTCCGGATTCCTGGCACGCGACAATATGTTTAGTTGTAGTTATTACTGTAAACGGAAGAGTAAATATGTCACCTAGTGGGTATAATTCGCTTGTGGACCAAACCCACGGAGTTTACTTTTTAGTTTTTTAGTGGACTTGTTTCTGTCTTACATTTTTCACGAAGGTAGCCATATGTGAAATTGCTTATGTAAAATGTCATCTTGCATATATGCCTCTAGTTTAGCTTCCATTCAGAGATTTGAGGTGGGATTAACTTGACAGTGGTGTTTATGTCTGTGAAAAGTTTTACGTATTGTTACATATATCATTGACTATAGACGGTGTTTCGATTCGTCAGTGGATTTATTAACGCCTTATTCAATTAGATCGTACTTACAAGCAATACAGCGCTATCTCTGATTTACACAATTTACAGTTCACCGTTACATACGCAATGGGATTCTCAGTCTTCGCTAGTCGTACTCTGGTAACGGAATTAAAACAGTCTCACTGTGACTAAATCTTCTGTCACACACTAAGTCTTCACAGGCTGACTTCTTTTTCAGCTACTGACTTCAGCTGACAACTGAACTCAGTTATCTATCTCCTACTCCGATGTACGCTGTTGTATTCCCATTCTGTTGACTCATCTGAACTCCCAATTCCAGTCCTCTAGTTCTGGCTACAGACAGATTGTATATATATATATATATATATATATATATAGGCTAGGGTCGAACCCCATAGGAAATACGTGTCACGTGTCAGAATGTGTGTTCATTGGCCCTTTACCCAGCACTGGTCATGCCGCAGACCACATAGAATTGTTGTGTTACCTAGCAACGAATTTTAGCATGGTCCACAGAGGACACAGCTCTTATTGTTGTGGTCGCTGGAACGTGTAGACTGAGTCGTTACCTAGCAGTTGGTTTATGCATCACAATATAAACAGAACAAGAACGCGTCCATGCATGCTTGGTTTCCACCCAGATGTTCACATGGTTCCCCCAAGTCTCAGCTGTCCTTATGGAAGAAAAGAGGATTGGATATGTGAGACGGAGTTTTCTATAAACTGAAATACTGGTTCTTATCGAATTTGGAATTATAAGCAGAAAGTTGATATGTTAAATGTTCCTTATAATCAGTAGGACTCTACTGAATTAAATGTCGACTTAAATTTATAACTGCTTTATTCGCAGGAAACCCTTACGAACGTTCTGTAATTTTGTGTTTCAGCAAGTACTTCATAGGATTAAACAAGAAGAAGATGGAATGAAGATTTTGTTTGCTGATTAATTGACCTAAATGTGACATACGAACATTCTTCCTTCCATACATACCTGCTTATCTTAAGATTGGGCTATTTGGAATCGTGCCTTCTATTTTAATGTATTTAACCCTCCTCCTAATATCCTTAGGCTGCTTTGATGGATTGCATTAGGAGGTAAATCAGCACACTTTTATACCCATAAAAGAGGCAGATGTGATGAGATTTTATTTTTAAGAATGGCTTCCAGTTGCTTTGCATGGTTATGGCATCTTCATACTTTATGTGTGTGCTATGCTCTTAAATTGACAAGGTTTAAGCATTCATTTGAATCCTTATTTTTGTAAATTTACTTTTTTAGAGTAACATGGCAGCACTTCCGAATGTTTCACTGTACGTATTATTCAGAATGTGTATATACAGAGTGTTCGGATGAAGGGCATCCAAAATAAAATAATTATATCTGAGAAAGCTTTTATTATACATATTTATGGGTTAGACCACTGCAAAGGGAAACTATCATTTTTTTTTCTGAGATTATAACTTTCTCAGTAAATTTCAACGTGGGCTCCCTTGGCGGCACGACAAATATCCAGACGATCCAGCATGTTTGGTGTTACCATAGCCACAGCGTCCCTTATGCGGGCTTTCAGATGTTGCAGGTCGCTGATCTTAACCTGGTATACAGTATTCTTCACATAACCCCACAAGAAAGAATTCAGTGGGGTTAAATCTGGCGACGTAGGAGACCTAGCAATTGATCCACCTCTGCCGATCCATCTCCCAGATGATTCCTAACATGGTGGCAGAAATGTGGCGGCGCATGCGCGTAAGCCGGGAATGAAAAAAAAAATTCAGGGGTTTCCTTTCCGATGACATAAACCGGATATGTACGAGGGGGTACCCAAAAGAAATCGAACTTATTTTTTTAACTTATTTATTCAAATTTTAAGCACAAACCTTCTCTACTTACACTAATACACTTGTCTAGTCTTTTATTCCATTTTTCAAAACATTGTCTAAATTCATCTTTTGAGATGCTTGACAGAGCCTCCGTTTTTTTTCCTTCAACTCAGCAACATCAGCAAAACGCTTTCCTTTCATGTCTCTCTTCATTCGAGGAAACAAAAAAAAAAAAGTCGCACGGGGCAAGGTCGGGTGAGTATGGAGGGTGAGGAACAGGGGTCATACCATTTTTGGTCAAGAATTGTCGTACAGACAGGGCTGTGTGAGCAGGGGCATTGTCATGATGGGAAAACCAGTCACCCGACTGCTCCAAGTCACTCCCGACAGCTCCACAATTTCTTCAATGGTCCGTCGTCGATCTTCCTTGATGATTTCACGATTTTTTTTCAACATTTTCATGTGTTCGGGCTGTGGAAGGACGACCAGAACGAGGTTTGTCATCAATTGACATTTCACCATTTTTGAAACGGGAAAACCACTCAAACACTGGAGTTTTCCCCATAGCATCGTCCTTGTACGCCGTTTTTAACATTTCAAGAGTTTCTGTTCCCCTTTTCCCGAGCAAAAAGCAGAATTTCATCGCCGCACGAAATCAGCCATTGCAAAAAAGACGTTCACACAAAACAGTTGTCACTATAAACTCTGCCGAAACTAGTCCTTACCTTCTGAAGCAACTGTAGTCAGCTTATCGACTCAGGAATGTTAGCTCTATGCGCTCACAGCGGCAAAACGCGGTACTACAAAAGCTCTGCCCACAAAAAAATTAGTTCGGTTTCTTTTGGGTACCCCATCGTATATGACAATTACTTTCCGAGATATAATTTATTTTGGATACCTTTCATCCGGACACCCGATATTTTGGAAGTTTGAAATCAAAACTGGCAGGGGTTCTAGTTACAGAACTATTCGACAAGCATGACAGAAGCGCGTGATCATAAGCACTGTAGCTTAATCCAGACTTGTCTTAGTATGGCTTTTGCTTTGTAGAAATCATGTCATTAAATAGATTGTGTGTAACTATAACATATACACAACAAAGAAGCGATGTTTTACTTATTGTCATTATTTATAATTCGGAAAATAAGCTTTTCTGTACACTGGATATCAAGTTAGTCATATTATATTATGTTTCAGTTGCCATTTAGTCGGGGCACGCGGTTGTGTAATTGGTTGAGGCGGTATGCTACAAGCCGGAAGGTCGCGGTTTCGAGTCCTGATGAGGTCATTGCTTTTTTTTTTCAATTTG